TATAATCAAACTGTGTAACTTCATTTTTCCATTTATAGACAAATATATACAACATGAAAAAAACAAAAAAAATATAAAAAATAAAGATAAAATCACAAAACTAAAATAATATAATGCATCAACAACATATCCAATTCTGCGCTTGGGCTGGCTTATGCTCCTAGTTTATACAACAAGCTGGTAAAGTAGATATTTTAAAGCTGGCCTAAGAGAAAACAAAGAATTAATAACAAGTGGAATCATCTTGTATAAAAAACAATCATAAAACAACAAATCATAATTCCATTACAAAAGAAAAAACAAAGAAGCAAAGACAGGAACATTGTGGGACCAGCCACTTTCTCGCAACTACTACTCATTTCACAATAACACAATTAGCAACGACTTTTTATACAAGTTGAAATAGTTTTGTGTCTTCTTCCTTCTTACTCACAAACATACATACAAATCAAATCAAATACGTATATAAGCACATGAATACGTTTTAACATAGAGAGAGAAAAGGAAAAACAATGGGTTTTCGTGGGAAATTCTTCTTCCCAATGCTCATGACTCTATCGTTATTTCTATTAATCAGGTACAACTACATTGTCTCCCGTGATCCTCCTCTCCGACAAGAACTTCCTGGACGTCGGTCATTTTCTTCCAGAGATGACGTCATATCTTCCGTCAAGACTCCGTCAAAGAAGACTAAAAGACTTTTTCACACGGCAGTAACAGCCACTGACTCCGTGTACAGCACATGGCAGTGTCGGATCATGTACTACTGGTACAACAGGTTCAAGGACGAACCTGGTTCGGAGATGGGCGGGTATACACGAATCTTGCATTCGGGTCGACCTGATAGGCTCATGGATGAGATCCCTACCTTTGTTGCTGACCCTCTTCCCTCTGGTGTTGATCAGGTTCGTTATTTTATAACTGCTTTATTATTGATGTAGAGTATAATATTGACGCATAATTTAAAAGAAAAAAAAAAACTTATCATATACTGCCTAGATTTCAGAACGATCATGTTGTTAGATCTTGACGTTTATAACTGTAAATAGCCATCACATTAACAAAACTAATCTCAAATTTTGGATAATATTTATGGTTTATCAAAATAAGTAATGTTCAAGTTGTAAAATTTTCAATAAACATAACCATCTTCATTATGCTAAACGATGTTAACGAAAACGTTGAAACAATAAGGGACATGTGTAAACTTTATTTCTAAGGATGGTACTGAACATTCTATTAAGAAATAAATACACAAAAGTTAATATGATGATGTCATGATGAGTTGTGTACAATGTGCAGGGATATGTAGTTCTAAATAGGCCTTGGGCGTTTGTGCAATGGCTTCAACAAGCACATATAGAGGAAGAGTATGTAAAATTTTACATTTGTCAGTCCCTTATTTTCGTTTTTGTTACTACATATTCTCTCAATACCCCCATTGTTAGATGTTCAAGTTCTTTCTTCTTTTCTTGATCACTATGTCAGTTACATCCTTATGGCGGAACCTGATCATATCATAGTTAAACCAATACCAAACCTAGCCAGAGGCAACCTCGGGGCTGCATTTCCATTTTTTTATATTGAGCCGAAGAAATATGAATTGGTTCTCCGCAAATTCTTCCCTAAGGAGAATGGCCCAATATCAAGAATCGACCCAATTGGTAACTCTCCAGTGATTGTCTCTAAGGTATAGTACTCTCACCCTTAACCAAATGTTGCGGTGTACATATTTATGGTTACATGCATACATAATATAATGTTTATTTGTTAGAATGCATTGATGAAAATTGCCCCAACATGGATGAACGTTTCTCTAGCTATGAAGAGTGACCCACAAACAGATAAAGCTTTTGGATGGGTCCTTGAAATGTATATACGTCTCTTTACTCTTCTTTGTCGTCAAGTTCTAGACTTACAATGTTATATTAAACAGGCTATGTTTGATAATTGTTACAAGGTATGCATATGCCGTTTCTTCGGCGTTACATGGTGTGAGCAACATTCTACACAAAGACTTCATGATTCAGGTTTCGATCAATTAAACTTTATGTAGTATTTTTTTTTGGACATGAACCTTATGTAGCATATACTGAGAAGTTTCAGACTTCTTGGAACCTAACAAGTCGTGTTCTTTTTCTTCTTGTGTAGCCTCCTTGGGACACTGAATCAAAGAAGACGTACATCATACATTACACGTACGGGTGTGATTTCGACATGAAGGTACGTAAAATGATGAAAGAAAAATTAATCAAGTGAAATAAGCTTGGGATATACAGTATACTGTATTTTATGGGTTTCCTAACTTACAGGGAAAGATGATGTATGGGAAGATTGGAGAATGGAGATTTGATAAACGGTCTTACGGTGATAAACCACCCCCAAGAAATCTCACATTGCCTCCCAAAGGTGTTCCTGAGAGCGTGGTATGTTTGGCTTCAACAGATCCTTTGTTTCCTTTTGTATTTTTTTTTTTGTTTGCACAGTCCTGATCACTAATCGGACATAACACAATGCAGGTGACATTGGTAAGTATGGTGAACGAAGCTACGGCTAATATTCCTAACTGGGAAGCCTAAAAAGAAATTTTTTTTTCTTCTTCTTGTAAGCAATATTACATTCCTTTAATAGTTTTCGTTACTCCAATGTTCAAATTCTAAATCCATTTGTGGGTTGGAAGAAAAGAGAAACCGTAGCTGTAGAAAACTAATGACGGCTTTGACAAAATGCGAGTCATTGTTAGGAAATGCCGAAATGGTATCCTGTTCCACAGTCAATCATACATTACTTAATATCGCCTTGTTGAATAAGCAAAACAAAAATATGGTGATGTATACAGATCAATATTCGGCAAAACGAAATATGTGCTCAAATACTTCTTTTTGTGTTATTCGAAGTTTCGAACAGTCAAATGGTTGAATACTTAGTCAAGCCCAAATTAACGTCCTTAATAATACAGAAAAGACCGATATTGACACTAAACAAATCAATAAACACATGCACAAGCAATACAAGTTGTGTAACACGACTAACCAATCTATACTAGTAAGCAATTAATAAAATATTATAACTTCAACCTTTTTAATTTATAGAATTTTTACTGTATACACAGTATATATAAAGAATGATGGGGAACTTGTACAATTAAACATTAGGAGTAAGGCACGAATAGAATATTTGGTTTGTGGATGTATTTGTAATTAGATTCTCTGATACGACTTAATCTGTAATAACTGAAATATTCAGTTCCGGTATCTGGAATATTTAGTTTGTGGATGCACTTGTACAATTAAACATCTATACTGTTATATAAAAAGTAAATTTGCCAAGGTGTTATGTTCTCCATAAATTTAGATAATTTTATTTATTTATCATATTTATATTATTATATATAATTTATTTATAAATAAAACGAATTTATATCAATACATCATATTTTAATAAATAAGATAATTCTTGTGAATTATGTTGTTATCTAGAAATATATTTTTATATATAAAACGTAAAAATATAATTCTTATGTATTATGTTGTTATGTTGAAAATATATTTTTCTATTATAAAACTTCAAATTAAGATGGAAATTTTTTTATTAATAATTAAATTTATATTTTAGAAAATAAGTTAATTCTTATGTATTATATTGTTATCTTGAAAATATATTTTTCTATTATAAAATTTAAAATTAACATGTTAAAAAGATATACTATTATTTAAGAAGCGAATTTGATATTTGCTGATTTGTCATATTTTTCATGATTTCAAATAATTTTGATAATTTATCATAATTTCTATAATTTTATATATAATTTATAATAGATTTAAAACAAATTTATATTAATTCTATCAGATTCTTAAAAATAAGATATTTCTTATGTATTAAGTTGTTGTCATGAAAATATATTTTTGTATTATAAATTTAAAAATAAGATATAAATAGTTGTAGTTATTCTATAATTGAAATAAATTTACACTAATAATATTATACCTTTATAAAATAAGGTAATACTTATGTGTTATGTTGTTATCTTGAAAATATACTTTTATATTATATAACTTAAAAGTAAAATAGCAAAATTATTGATTGTTAATTAAATATAAATCATCATACAATAAAAATTATTTAAGAAGTGAATTTGCTGATTGATTAAGTTCTCCATGATTTAGGTAATTTTAATTATATTTTTTTCTATTATAAAATTTAAAATTAAGATATAAAAATTACAATTAAATATAAATTAAGTAAAAAATTTGTATAAATATCATAATTAAATATAAATTAAGCTAAATAATTATAGAAATATATTTTTAAAAATATTTATGATGTTTGAGGTTTTCATTAATAATTATTTGATGTTTGATTTGTACCTTTTGAAAACATAAATAATAACTTATTATACTGATTTTTAAACTAATGAAACATCAACTAATAAATATTTATAAGAGAATTATGCCCGCAAGTGCGGGCAAAACACCTAGTTAGGAGTAAAGCACGAATAGAATATTTGGTTTGTGGATGTATTTGTGATTAGATTATCTGATTAGACTTAGTGTGTAACCACTTGAATATTTAGAGTTTCGGATATCTAGAAAAATTAGATTTTAACCGGATAACTGTTTTGATCAGATTTGTATTAGTAAAATAAAAATAAATAAATAAAAATAAATTACAATCTAAAATTAATATTAAAAATAATATATTATTTACAAACTTAAAATATCTTTATTTTTAATATTCTTATAACTAATGTAATACCTTAACTAAATAAGATATTGTAAAAATTTATATATATATAATATATATAATTCATTAACATATGTATATATATGCATATAATGAATATTTATTCCTAAAAATAATAGTATTTAAAATTTGTTTTATTTCTTACGAAAATTTGTTTTGTTTCTTATGAAAATTAAATATTAGTATTTCAGAGTTTTGGTTCGAATCGAGTCAGAATTGACACATTTGTCTAGTCCTATGCTTCACAATCTAGTGGGCTTTTAGTGATATATATATCCATTGTTTTGGTGAAATAAGAAGATTTTTCGAAAAAGTCTATTTGGTGGCCTACATTTTTCTTGAATTGCGCACTTCGCAAAATAAAACAAGAAGCAAAATACTGTTTTACTCAAGAAACTCTTTTCATAAGCAGAGAAGAAAAAAAAAATCGGGAATAATATTTGGTAATCCTCTTATTACATAGTTTCATTCCCTTTTTTCTTCCTATATAAAATCTTCTCGAATCCTTGTTGAGTAGCGTGAATTCTTGTCAGCGAACTCATCGCTTACTCCCATCTCCTACGACCACGGATAAAAAGCTACACCATTGATCTCTAATAATTACCTGAGGGCATTGTGGCTTGAAGCTTTCTTTCTTTAGCTCGTCCCGTACAATGTCTCTTCTTCCTCGATGGGTGTCATGTTCAGATCAGGGAGGAAGAAGAAACCCTTTTCTTCAGATCTCTGAGTTTCACTTGTTGTTCTGTAGGAATGTTCGTTTTTCATCAGTTTTCGAGAGCTGGAGAAAGGTAAGCGCCTCTTTTCCCGGAGATTAGATCTGTTAACTGGAATATTCTTGATTCTATCTGAGTATTCAAGCTACAAACAGCAAACGATTCATATTCAGGTTTCAAGATCAATTGAATAAATATAAAAAGGACAAAAAAGATAGAGAACGGAAATGTATTAAAAGTCACACACCTTCATTCTCTTCAAGCTTTGGTTCTTGGCACTTCGCTTCTCGTATGTTGCTTGCACGTTTGCAATACTCTGATGGAAAAAAAAAGATAGAAGATTAATAAGAATACAATTTTGTACAAAAACAATAAGAAAAGAGAGAATAAAAACCTTTTGAAGGTAAAGTCTTTCCTTCAACTGCAAGTTCTCTGCATATTTAAGGTCCACGAAAACCTTTTGTTTCTTCGATCTCTTGTAACTGGTGATTTCATTTGTTACGTGTAACGCCTGCCACAAAATACACGAATCACACGCATTAATTTAACGATATATAATTGTTTATAAGTTAAAAAAAAAGGAATTAAATAAGAGATTAAAGAGGTAGTAGATGCTAAAGATGACTCTTTAATTCGAAATTCGAAAGTAATTAAACCTTTTTTTTTAAATCATAAAACATGGATCATGCACGCCCCACATCATGATAATCCCGTGGCGTGGTAAAACAACATCACATGACACCATCAACACGTGACGTCAATCTATCCGACAAAATTTACTCCACTTGCTTACAACGACACCGTTTAGTAAAAAACCAAGAAAAAGTTTTGACTCTGTACACTCCGTAACACTAACCATGACACATCAACAATCCCCCATACTTTATGGGACCAATTTAAAAACAAAATCCGACCGGTTTTAACCGACGCTAGATACTGGTTTACAAAATTACCCTCATATTAACGACTCAAGATTTTCACAGTTGAGTGGGAGATTAGCATATTAAAGCCACGCCCAAAAATTGTGCAAACTTACCCAAAAAAAAACAAAATAAAATCATTAACATAAAACTAAATAAAAGAAAAGAAAAAAAACGTCGAACTCATTGGCTGGATCCGTAAACAAGAAATCCACCTTACGCTGAGGGGTAAAAGGTAAAAAACCAACAGAGCTTTTAATTTCCCGGCGGAATAATCAAAAACTTTTCCGACTAAAAAAAACTGACAAAACCCCAATCTGGCTAAAAAAAGCCTGACAGATGACGTCAGCAAAATAAACCGGAAAATCGAAAACGAAAACAAAACCGAATTTGCAATTGACGACCAGATCGAAACCAAAATCAAAGACGAAAATGACGATTCAATAGAAGAAGAAGAAGAGGAAAGAGACGGCGGCTTAACAAACCTTAGATCCGTATCCGGTAGACGTAGAGCAGGTAGATTGACGACTGGTATCTTCAAATCCATCTGCGGAAGATCCACCGCTACCACTACCACTACCAGATCCACCGCTCCAGCATAAAGGAGTCATCGGACTCGCTCTAGCCGAATCCTTTTCCTTCTTCAACGAGCCTCCAACGCCAACGCCTAGTCTCGACCTCGGTTTACGAGAGCCCCAACGTAACAGAGGTCTATTTACCGTTACGGCGTGCTTGAGGCGGAGAAGAAGCTCCACCACCACGGTGTCTTCCGTCAGAGCCGCCGTCACCCACTCGTCTTGCGTAACTGCCGTCGGTTTCTTCATCGAAACGGACACTTAACTGATAAAGGCTCAGATACAGAAACGGCGATGGAGAAGAGAGAGAGAGAGAGGGAGGGGAGAGGAGAGGGAGGGAGTTGGAGAGAAATGGAAAAGAGATGAGATTGATGGGACTATTATATGAGAAGCCTTCCTTATTATTATTCCTCTCTTTCATTTTTTTTTTATCTTCTTCATTTATGAAAATCGTTTTTTTTTTTCTTTTTTTTTTCATTTCTTTTGTTTGTGTGTCAATGAGATTCGCTTTTTTCTGTTTTGTTGTCGACGATGATGAAAAAGGTTTTAGATTGGGTCCATGGCTACATTGGGACCCACCTATATTAGGCTTCGAATGTTAAAAGCGGTTCAAGCGGTGCAGATCAAGCAGATCAAGCGGATCATGCAGGAGAGATGCAGATCAAGCAGATCATGCAGGAGAGATGTAGATCAAGCGGATCATGCAGGAGAGATGCAGATCAAACGGATCAACTAATTTATTATAATTATGAATGACAAAAACGGTTCAAAACTGTAAATCACATATTTAAATATAAAAATAACATCAAAATATCAAACACATTATATATAAATAATACACAAACAAAAATAAAATAATTTAATGAAATATTTTGATATATCCATAAATATATGTAATATTAATAATAATTACATTCATAATTATATATATATATATATATATATATATATATATATATATATTTACACAAAAGTTGTTAGGAAAAAAAAATTTAGTGTCATTAATTAATAGGGGATATATTTACTTTTACTTCTGTTTTACACTAATTATATAAATATTTTTATACTAAATTTAGTTTTATGAAATTATTAATATATAATCTTTGTTTTTAATATGTATGAATTAAAATCTATTTTATTTTATAATTATAATTATATAATTTTCAGTACAATAAACAAACTCTATATCAAAACACGAGACCCCTTTTTGAAATATAGAACTAATAAATAATTATATTTATAGATAATAATTTAATATTTTCGAAATTAATTTATTTTAAAAAATAAATATTGGTTAAATAGGAAGTGGAACAAGTGAACAGCTCCAAAATAGGAGTGGGTGAAACTGCAGGCAGATGAACTGCTTTTTTGCAGAAAAAAACAAAAAAAATGCAGTTCTCCTGCTTTTCTCTTTCTTAACTTCAAAAAATGTGAATGGCAAATAAATTGCAGATTATCCACTAATGCAGGAGAACTGCTTTTTATCTGCCTCCCATTCATACACTTAGGCTTCGAATGGACAATGCAGATCAAAAAATGCAGATCAAACAGAAATGCAGATCATGCAGAACAAATGCAGATCATGCAGATCATGCAGAACAAATGCAGATCAAACTGGTTAGATTAATTTATTAAAATAAATAATTTATGATAGAAAGTAAAAAAAATTATTAATTTAAATATCTAAAATAAAAATTCTTATATATAATAGTACCAAACAAAATTAACATTCTTAAAAATAAAATTACAACATACAATAAAAATTGAAAAAAAAAATTAACATCAATGATTTTGGTTTGTCCCTAATGAATTTGCAATAATTTCTCTAATGTTTTCCATAAATTATTATATTTAAATAAATGTTTCATATTTTAATTTAAAATTAAATATCTAAAGAACTACGTACAACTTATTATAAATAAGTAATAAATATCAAATTGACACAAATAGCAATATATATCATAATTTTAATAAATATACAGAAATTTTATATTATATGAACATTTATCATAAATAAAAATTATAATAGTATTATCTTTTACACTTAAATTTAATATTTTTACTCAATTTTGGTTCTTTCCTATTGTTTCTTTCAACTAAAAGACTAATATTGTATCAATACAATCTTCATTCAAAAAATTAAAATGTAAAGACAACATGAAAAATATCAAAACTAATTAGAAACAACATAAATATATCATTTATGTATGTTTTTCTATCAATTTAAATACTATATATATTATTTTTTATTGCAGCCAAAAATAGATAATAAAAAAATAATATATATCTCTAATTATTGTAAACATAATATGTCAAGTAAATATATATATATATATATANTAAAATGTAAAGACAACATGAAAAATATCAAAACTAATTAGAAACAACATAAATATATCATTTATGTATGTTTTTCTATCAATTTAAATACTATATATATTATTTTTTATTGCAGCCAAAAATAGATAATAAAAAAATAATATATATCTCTAATTATTGTAAACATAATATGTCAAGTAAATATATATATATATATATAAGTGTTTATAAGAGTATAATATAATTTTCTGGTTTGTAATAAAAGAAAGGAAGTTGGTGTAGTATTTATAGAAGAAAAAGAAAAAAAAAAAGAAAAGGGAAAATCACCCATTGGTCACCTGTTTTTGGCCACCTCGCTTTTGGCTGTGTTTGCAGGAGAACTTTTTTCACATTACAATTGATCTGCAAGCAGTTCAGTACATTTTTTATTATTTATTTTTTGTTCTGTATTTTAGTGATGAATGGATAAAATATTGCAGATAGGACTGCAGTTAACTCTCCTGCTTTTCTTCTGCATTTTAACTGCACCACATTCATAGCCTTAGTCTTGGAGCTATGGGGAAGATGGTAAGGAATCTTCTTCGGTCTTTTGCCCATTGTCAGCCCATTAACGGCCCAGCATGTAGACAATTCTTGTGCATATTATCCCCATATCCGAACCCCAAAAAAATAAATCGAAACCAAAAATTTATCTGCTATATAAACCATTCAGCTATTTGACAAACATTTATCTGCTGATCAAAGTAAAATTGCAAAACTTCTTCCTTAATTTTTCTTTTCCTTCAAGTTTTTTCCTCCTTCAACTTAGTGGTATTTTTTCAGTTAAAGAAAATCATAATTTCATATTTTATTCTATAGATATTAGAATTGACGTTATACAAAGTAGAATATGAAATCCATTTTTTTTCATAAACTCTACTAAGTTCAGAATACATATTCTACGTAAATAATAATAATAATCTAAAACTATTTAAAATACATATTCCCCACTTAACATATCTCTACAAAATCAGTAGAAATTGAAATCTACATATTACTATAAATCTAAAACATGTAAAGATTGATTTCAAACATTCTTAATGCATTCTACATATAGTAGAAAACATATTCTACAGATAGAGACAATCAATCGTGAAAATTTGGAAATAAAATATTTGAAAATATTTAGTTACCATATATTAAATTTGATTTTTCAAAAAAATATTAACTGTTATTTATTAGAATTTAAATTAATAAAATATTTTCAAATTTTTTTTTTGAAATATATGAAAATATTTCAAAAAAAAAATAAAATATTTGCAATTTTTTCTTAAAAATATTTAGAATTTCTTAACTTTGGAAATAAAATATTTGGATATTTTTTAATTTCGAATAATTTTTTTATTTTTTTAAATTTCAAATTTGTTTTTAAACATTTGGAAATATTTTGTAATTTTGAATTAGTTTTTAAAATATTCGGAAATATTTTTGGGAAATTGTTTTTATTTCTAATTTTTTTTTATTTGGAAATTCGGAAATATTTCTTTTTAATTTCATATTAGGTTTTAAAATATTTGGAAATGTGTTTCATATTTATAAATATAGACTTTTAAAAAAAAATTGGAATTTAGAAAATTTTGAAATAAAATATTAGAAAACATATTTTTTTAATTTCGGATTAGTTTTTTTTATTAAATTTTAAATATATAATTATTATTTTATAACTAGAATTTTAAATTAATAAATTCACTTTAAGAGTATTACTACAATTTAAAGAATATTTAGTCTAAAAAGACAATGTACTAATTTTTTGGTTTAAAAAAATAATTTTACATAAAAGTTAAATATAAATAAAATAAAATCTGGCCGTGATCTTCAACTGCAAACTTCCATCTCCTCATTCTCATTGCTGAGTTGTCTCTGCCTCAAGAACTCATGGTCTCTCTGCCTCGTGATGTTCTAGACTTTACACCATCACAACAACTACAATGGCCAATTGGTCTAACAGCAAAACTAAGTGACAACCCACTCCATCACCTGGCCTATCCATGTATGAACCTTCCATAGATCTCTTGACCTCAACATAACACCATATAGGGGTGAACACAGATCGGATATTCAAATTTTTGAAAATATTTGTTTCACTTCGTTGTTTTGTATACATAGACAGTTTTGTGATTATTTGGCTTTGATACTGTTCAGACATTATGTATCTTGATATCCGGTAGAATATGTATTTTTAATTGGATATTCGATTGGTAAAAAAAATAATAAATAAATTAAAACTTTCAAAAGATCTAAGATTTAGTGCATAATTTCATTACAAAAATAAAGAAAAATTATATATTTGAAAACTTTAGTTACTAAATAATGAATTAGTGAATAAAATTTATATGTACACATATACCCACCACATAGGATCAGTTATCCATCTTTCAAAAATAGTATTACTATTTGCTTCATTTTAACAAATAATTAATATTAGTATTTGATTTGATCCATAAAATTACTAATATCTGAATTTTTAGGATCAAATCGAAAGATATAACGGATCAAATCAAAATTTACGGATATTTTGTGATCCCTAACATCATAGCTAGGGCTGGGAACCGAAACAACTCGATAAAAATAGATTTAAACTGATATTAACCCAATATAAATACCAAATGAATCTTATTCTACGTTATTTCTGGTTATGTGCTTTATCCGAACACATATGAATATCTTAAAAACCTGAACAATTCAAAATCCAAAAAAAAAAATTATACCAAACATGATATTTATCCCTAATATGTACCAAAATACACTAATATATTATATAGTACATAAAATAGTTATCTATTACATAAACTATTGGGACAAATACTTAATTTAATATATTTTGGTATCAGGTTAATATTGATGTTTTTATATATTTTTAATTTCCTTTGAAGTTCAGTTATAAATAAGTTTGTTTCTGAAGTTTCAACATTGTTGTTGTTTTACAAGTTTAAAGAGTGTTTCTTATGATTATAGAGTTGTATACTGTTAATTTTAATTTGTTAAGTTGTATTATGTATGATTCTTGTTTATGTAAGCTTTTGGTTTGATATTATCAGGTATAGTTCAAGGGCGA